TAAGGTGTGAGGACCAGAAACTAGAAGCATTTGGCCTGGTTAACTATTTGGCTGGTTAAGCTTTTAGGCTTTGAGCAGCAGTTCAGCTGAGACCCATTCTGGATGAGGACTCAGAGGCCTCCAGTCTGAGGAAACAAGACCAGCTGAGGATCCAGCGAGGTGAGGTAGCTGTGGCTTGTTCTGGTTCTCAGATCTTCCAGTTCACCCCAATACCTGGCTCAGGTTTGATTTTATTAATAAGAACTTTTAAGATTCATGCTACAGTGAACATTATCAAAAGGACTGGTCATTTCCAGGTTTTGGGTGCCTGGTTTCATTGACAGGCAGATAAACCTTTCTAGATCTCCACACAAGTGGCCTAGAGAGTACCAGTGCTTACAAAGTTGGTTGCATGTTATTACCTAGTTGGGCAAATGCTCATCTCATCTGTAGATAAACTTCATGTCCCAAGATAGGACAGGCTTTGCAAGGAAGGTTAAAAATGGCTTAGTACCAATGACTTAAAACTCAATTTTCTTTTTAAGCAGAACCTTTTGAAAACACAGCTAACAGGTAATGACAGAACTTAGTGTCCTCTACTGGAATTTGGGGTGTGATAAGTATGGATGGAAGTGTGTAACATCCTAACCATTGATTATCTAAAACATATGCCTGCTCTTGCTTTGGGACACGATACATAGGACAATCATCTGGTGTGAGCTAGTGAAAGCAATGTGTAGAGGACCCTTTTCAAAAGATCCACTGATCTTTCTCTAGCCGTGGCATTTGGAAATCTCTAGACCATCACAGGGGACTTGAATCCATACATGTGTTAGCAAGAAAGTCATAGAGGAAGACTTTGCCGTGATGATGTCTGCCTCCTTTAGCTAAAACCCACTCCTTGGAGAAATGAGCTCGAGAGTAACATAATCTGAGAGAAGTCCCAGAGCACCAAGAAAATAATTTCTAGAAGCTGGAATTAGTGTTCCCTAATCAGTGTCTTGGGAAAAGGGCCAATGAAGCATCATAACGAAAGGAAGCTGTCTTTCACTCTCAAATTGTGTGAAAAGTTTTCAAGCTCCAAATTTTACAACTTTTTTGGAGAAATTATCTTAATCCTGAAATTCATCTCATGTATTAAAAAAATAGCCAAGAAATGCCATCCAAAAGCAGCAAATAGATGCACATTATTATCACTGCCGGACTGTTTTTGGCTCGGCAAGCCCAGTATTTTGAAGGAGAAAAGACTATCAGTGAGGCTTCTAATTGTCCTCCAATGGGAACCTGAATCTTCCACCTGAGGCTTGTGATGAAAGCCCAGCATGACTGGAGGCCTTTTGCTGCCCGCCATCCTTATAGTGAGAGCTGAGCATGCCCATAGTGCTCTTGACCAGAATTTTAGCCCTTAGACTCATTATGCTTCATGACCTTGAGCTCAGCATGCTCAAAAAATGTGCCTATCATCTATCCTTTAACAATGACCTTAAACTGAGCGTGCTCAGGTATGTACCCCAGCCTAAAGTGCTTTTGTATACCAATAGAGACAGTGCCCAATCCCTAATAAAAGCTTCATGCTTCTTCCCATGTTCCCAGCTCGTGATTCAGTTAATACATTTCTCCACCCTTTTCTTCCTCAGGGATGCTCGCTTTGGCTTTGCGTTCACAGAGATGTAAACCATTGCACAATTGTGCTAGAAGGATGTAGGGACCGGTGTTGACAGTTCCCTCTCAGTGACCATAATACTGAGTGTGAACTGGGCTACCTGCCAATGTTAAGTTATGAGGCTTTATTTGTACTTAAGCATACAAACGTTTCTTCATTTTTTCCAGAGAGTTTTATCTTTCTTTAAGAAAAAAATCTTCTCATGTGGCCTGATTGGAGCAAGGACCATCTTCTAAGGTTAAAAATAAGCTTTCTGTAAGTCAGGATTATTTTTATCCAGTTAAACACTTCAAAGTAAACCGAAGTAACATTGATGGGTTCTTACAAGCTCACAAGTTCTTTTCAGAACTCCAGAGATGGACCAGATTTTCAAAGATGTATTTAATATTATCTGTGTATATGCTTTTGGCCTCTGATTATTTTGCTCACATTAATGAATACTAATGATTCAAACTTTTAAAACATCCTTAGCCAGATGAATCTAATTTTTTCTGGTCTGGTATGCAAATATAATCAACTAGTGACATTAGGCCATATTTGCTTACAGATACACAATTTTCAGTGACTGGTAAGCAGAAACAAAGCCATCCAGACTCATCAGAGAACTGGCTCACCCAATAACAAGAATGTTGTGACTCAAAAATGACCCAACCTCAGTAAGACCTGGGGTTTGAAACCTTTGTTTCCAGAGATGATGTTAGATAAATACAGATTCGATTTCCCACTACTCTTGGTCCCCAGTGTGACCAAGGTCAGGGTTAAAAATGTGACTTGTAACCTTGAGTCATCTCATACTGACTTCCGTGGTTTCCATGAGACTCCTATTCTCCTGTCACTATTTATTATTGAAGTATTAGGTTGAAGCATAGGAAACTAATGTTTTTGTACATCAAAACAGTTGACCATTTTGTCTTTTCTGTCTTTCTCATATGAACCAACCTAATGTCCAGAGAGTTTCCTTAAGAATCTGTTTCGTCATTTTTGCAGTGTGGGCTTTGTGTAGCACTCCAAAATGCTACCTAGTTTTGTTGTTGCCTACTGCTTGTCTCTTTAATTAAATGTTGTGCAACGTTTTTTGCTTGTTTTTGCTTCTTTTCTTCTTTGTCTCTTGATTATTTTGCATAATTCACTCAGAAAGGCCAGATGCTTCTTTTAGGCCAACAACACACTTGACATTAACATAACTTCTCAGCCTGAATGTTCACTAAGGTTTTAAGGAAAGAGATGTGATACTGTTGTGCTGGCTGAGGACATGAAGCAAGTGAAGTCTTGTCAGCCAGAGGACAGCTGGTATCTACTGACTAGCTCACCATCTTTGGAATATCAACAGTGTCTCCTGCAATCAGTCTAAGTACTTCATTGGCAGATGTATTACCAAGGAGCCATATAAATATTCCATTCCTTACACATGCCCCTGCCCTGTACAGGAATTTCCTAGGAAATTACTAAAATATGAATGAATTCCAAAATGTCAACTTAAAAAATACACACTCAGTTCTAGGTTATCCCTGGTTGGAAATGTTACCATCAAAAGTAATTATGCTTTTTTTTTTCTTTTTTTAGATAATGGGCTCATTCAACATTTGGGGAAAAATCCAAACAAACCCATATCATTTAGTTGAATCTAAAGCTAATTTTAACTCCTGAAATAATTCTTTGTAACTGGGTGTTTAATGTAATTCTGTCGGTTTTCTTCCACATTGTAACATAGTTGAAACTCATTACAGAGTAAACTTTTTATATTTTAGGCCAAATTTGAACCCCCCCCCCACACACTAGTCTATGAAGTGAAATGTGTTTAGCTTTCTCTTGGATACAGATACCCTTTATGGCACCTTGAAATTCACTTCTCCTCCCTTACATTAACCTCTTCAACCTGTGTACGTAGAATACTGGCAAAATAGAAATTATGAAGAGGTCACTCAATTGAACTTTAGTAACCATAGGTATTCCCACAGCCTGGTGTACTTCACCATAGAGAATACATTTGAATGTAAGCAACACCACTTTCACTTTTACCACTACAGAATAAATGTAGGAAGGCTGGTCAGATTACCACAGACATTGGAAGGTGTCAGCCTCTGCATAGACATAGCAACTAATTATATTTGGTACAGGAAGCTCCTTTGGCTTAGCAGAACACAATCTCTCCTCTGATTGGAAATGGGAAACAGGGTAGGAAGTAGAGTATGGGGAAGTGGACCCTCCAGGGACCCCCACCGTTCTGCTGTAGCCTTAGGGGGCTGGACTGTCTGGCTTTTTTCCTGTGGGAAGATGACATGTGGACACTTCACTTACTCCCAAGAGAAGGTGTCTGTTGTCTGAGGACTGCTGGAGAAAAGCTCTAAGAGCCCCACAGTGCCATCCAAGCCAGTTCAGTCGACAATCTGCCCTGGTGCCCTGATGCCCTGGTGCCCTGATGCCCTGGTGCCCTGGTGCCCTGGTGCCCTGGTGCCCTGTTGCCCTGGTACCCTGGTGCCCTGATGCTCTGGTATTGGTGCTCTTGTGTCTCAAACATTCTATCTTTCCCCAGAGTCAGAGTAAAGACATAAAATGTAAGAGAATGTCAGGAGATTTATTGGTTACTATGCAGAGCATTTAAGAGACTAACCTAACACAAAAACTGTGGTGACCAAAATGTCCAAATTGTAACTAGAGAAAGATTCAATATGCAGTGATTCTTTCTTTGGACCAAGGATCCTATACAGTGTGGCAAAAGACTGTGACTGATCTGTCATGACTTCAGTTTGACTGTGTCTTTTGTGACACTTTAAACTGTGTTCCTGTGGGAGGTCTAGCCCCTGACAGTCTTTCTCTACTTTGTCCTTTGTTGTCCCGGTGTCCCCCACAGGCTTATTATCTATCCCACCACCTGGCACAACTTTGCTGTATTCCTCTTGTATCTAATCTCTAGGAAACCAGGGACTTTTTGTCACTCAGATCTCGAGTCTCTGAGGGCCAGAGCAGGGCACACAGCGATGGGCTAAGAGGACAATCTGTCACAGTCAGTGAGATGCATGGCTTCCCTGTTTGATTACACGGACAGAAGCATTCTCTGGATGCCCTGACAGCAGAACCTGCTTCGAGGCCCCTTTTTGTACACTGGGAAGGGGAAGCAAAGAAACACAAAGGTTAGCACAACTCAGGAGACTCAGAAGCATCTGTGGAGAACCAAAAAGACAAAAGTCAACAGATGGGACAGCTTCCCTCAAAGAGAAGAAACAAAGGTACTGGAAGAAACACTCTATTTTAAAGGAAGAGGTCCATAAATAGGTACGAGTACTTAGGTGTTTGGAGAGTTTTGTCTTTGTCACTGACACCTGAAGTTTCTCGAGTGTGGGAAGCTCAAAGCACTTACCTTCAATGGTGCACTGGTCCGGGACTGGGACCTTTTTTGCGATTTCCATGGCATAAGCCTTCACTTTACTGAGGTTTTCTTTTAAATGCAAGTACAGCTTATCTTGGTATTCAATGGGACTCGTGGTGGCTGTTTCTGGAATGGCTTCCTGGATGTTTTCTTTAACAGTTTCAGGCATATTCTCTGATTCTATATGGACAATACTTGGGTGTGAAGCTGAGGAATTTCTCAGCTGTGATCCATGGGCATCTATCTTAAGAGGCAACTTGCCAGTTCCGTGGCTAAGTGGGTCTATTTCTGAGAGAGAGATGCTGGCATGTATTCCTGCCCTTTCTTCAGCTTCCCCATCGCCTGCTCTCACTCCATTTGTGAGTACAGTATTCAAAGCCAAACTCCTGGACCTGTGATGAAAGGATAGAGGAGTTAAGGAAGCTCTTGTTGCCTGGCAAAGGAAAAACAGTTATACCAGGACAGAACTTTACTTTCTCCAGAGGGAGACACTATTAATAGACCAGATAACATGAGGACCACTATGGTGATATTTTATTTGTACTGAAATGTGATTTTAATTTTATGTTAATAAATAAAGTTGCCCTGGGGTCAGAGCTATTAGAGCCATAGCAAGAG